CGGACGGCTTCAGGTACCTGGCTCGTTCCTTACGGACAGATCAGACACATAATCTTGGTTCGTTCCCCCCAGTTGTAACAATTAAGGAAAAAAAAAAAAATTTATATATATACAATTTTACATTTAACAGTACCACTTTACTTGCATTTTACTTGCCTGTTGAAGTGACTATTTTACTGGCACATACAGTACTGCCCTCTGACTTCTGAGCTGCGTGCTGCTCAGTCCCTGTTCAGTGTAGCCCCCACACTGGGGACACCTCACAGAGCCAGAGCTGGCTCAAGCACCCAGTATCTGAACTGAACAGGGCTGTGGGTGAGCACACTGTGCTTAGCCAAGACTACCAGGTTACCCCAGTGCACCCGTGCCTGCTCCATCCCAGTCTATAGAAATCTGAACTGCTGAAGACATTTTTGCTTCCTCGCAGTAAATATTTCCCAGCCCTCCTTGCAGAGTTCATGCAGGGGCATCTTGTTCCTGGCATGCAGTGTATATGATCAGGAAGACTGGATGGGTTTGTAGTAAGTTAGGTTTTTCACTTGATTATTTTTGTTTGTTTCAAAAGGAGGTTACCCCTTATAAATCTCAAGATTTGATCTTAAACTAATTATAAATGTAGCAGAAAAACCCTGTTAATACTGTATATTCTTCCATACTAAACATTACTGTGTTCTAATAATCTGTGTTTCTACTGATAGCTAATTTATTTTTATAGATGAAAAAAAAATAATCCTAATTTCACTATTATTCACTCACAATTCTTTTTAATAGTCGGACACAAAATGAAGGTCATCCAAAATGGTTTGTTCTGGGTGTTGGACAAGTCATAAAAGGGTTGGATATTGCTATGATGAATATGTGTCCTGGAGAAAAACGGAAAGTGATCATTCCTCCGTCGTTAGCATATGGACAGCAAGGATATGGTAAAAAAGAAGACTTTAATACTCAACTTTGTCTTTCCTCTGTTTTACCCTTTTAAACATACAGCATTGTAAATAACTAAGAATTTGTGCTCCATTATTTCTGGAGGCACTGAAGGTGATGACTGCAGTTGTGCAACCTAATCCTGCTCATTCCTATGCAGTTTAAGTTGTCCTCATCATAGACCCACACACACCCAGGCCTTTCAGGTTCCATTAGAATTCAGTACATGGCACCTGATGTGTTTTTCCAAGTATTGCCATAATGCTAGAAGTTGACAGCAAAAGGAAAATCCTCATGATTCATATCAGCATTTTTTGTCTTAATCTGTTATATTCTATTTATGTTTAGTTTCCATGATTTGACTCTTACCTGCTCAATCAGTTAATGACATTCTGCATCTTCTGAGCAAAATGGAATGTAACCCAGTACATGCCACAGAATTAATCTAAGTAGAAATAATTTGTTTAAAATACTGCATACATTCTGGATAGTTAATGGACAATATTAGCACCTTACATAATAATTGCAACAGTACAGAGAATGAAATCTGATTTGAATTTATGATGCTTAATGTTTAAAACCAGTTCCAGTCAGAGTTTTATGCAGTGTTTCTACACCCTTAATTGTAGGTAACTTAAATTCAGCACTGACTTGGGTGTAGTAGCTTCTGTGAAAAGGCATCTCCTTCTGTACGGTAATTGTTTGGTAGTACAATTAAGTCAGAATTCCATGCACCAGTTTTCTCTTTTCATACAATTCCAAGGTAGCCATTGAAGTTTACTGGGAGTAATTCTTTCCCCTTGAGCATAATGTTTAATAAGTAAGTCTTGTAACAACAATGACAAACACAAACACAACTTAAAGCATGTTCTTTAATGCTTAATACTAGTGTTGTTTCTTCTAGGTAGCACTTCAAGAAAGTATTCTTTTCTTACAGCATAACTGTCCTCTGTCTCAGCATGCTGGGGAAGATGCCTGCCTAATCTTGAATTAGAAAAGATGCATGGCTTTCTAAACCTTTACATATCTTTCTTTTGCTGGTATGTATATTTGTAAACTACTGGCACTGAATTCCTGTGTTTTAACTTTTGTAAGTAGTATATAAACCAGTTTTATTCAAATATATTTAAAATGTCTATATTTTTAAAGCTTGTAAGATTAAAATCTTTTGAACTCTGAAACCTGTCATTTTTACTAAGGCTATTTTAGATGATTAGTGCGAGTTACAGTTTTGTTTACCTTTGTTTATAAACAAAGTAGATTCTTCAGTTTATGAAGGACAGGCACAAGCTAAAAATTCTGTCAACATTCTGAGGTTACAATGTCATGCTCACTTTGGTTATGAATAGAAGCAACTTGCATGTTTACATTTTTGTTTTACACTGCATGGTTTCTTGACACTTTTTTTGCTTTACTTTTAGACCTCATTGGTTTGTTACTGTCTCTCTTCAGTTCCCCTTTTTCTTGCCAGATGCTTGATGCAATGACCTGTGTGCATAGGCAGTGGTGTTTTTACATCAGATATCAGAAAAGGGTTTGACAAAGGAATAATGAAGTCTAGCATGTTTTTCTTCTTCAGGGATGAGACAAAATACTCTAGTAGGTTTTCTTTGTGTGAATCAGAATAGAATTACGTTCTATTGCTTCTTTCTAATGAGATACAAATTTAAATGCTATTTTACATGAAGTCCTTTACCATAGATAAAATTCATTGTAAGCTGGTATAACCTGGTATTGCCTTCTTGTTTCTTCAGACACAAAATATATATGAGCACTGGTCTTTTACTGTAATCTTTTAAATCAGATTTCAGATATTTAATAAAGGCATATGTCTTAGAATCGGTCTCTCATTAAGAGCTATCATATGACAATATGTGAAGAGTGAGAACTTTAGAAATACTCACTTTTCATGGTAACACAAACCATTCTCTTAATTTTTAAAAGTACCTGCATTGATATGAGCAATACAGTTTTGGTTCAGGAAACTATATTACTTGCAAATCTCTCTTAAAATAATTTATCTAACACAATCTGAACAATCATCCTGTGTGGCTGTATAATATTTAAATTCAGAGTTTAATCTGAATATTAACAAGGTTTTTTGTAATAAAAAAATAAGATACTTTACATGTGAATGTATCATATGTGTGACCTCTGGCCATATTTTCTGATTTTTTTTAAATGCCTTTTTTTTTTTGCTTTTATTCATAGCACAGGGCAAGATTCCACCCAATGCAACACTGATCTTTGAGATTGAACTTTATGCGGTAAATAAGGGACCTCGCAGTGTTGAAGCATTTAATCAAATAGACAAGGACAGTGACAAAAAGCTCTCTGCACTTGAGGTAATATGAGGTACCTAGCTTGGAATAAATAATGTATAAAACTATAAGTATAGTTGCATCAGGGTTATATCTGTACATGAGTTGCCTCTGCTGCAGTTCATCACGTAAAGCTTCTGTATGTTTACATTAACTACACTGTGCAATGTTGAAACCTGCGTTGATTAACACACTAGCATGTCTCAGACTTTCTGGGAAACAAACTTCAGATGTGCCTACACAGGAGTCACAGTAACTTAAATAGATACCCCAAGTGGCCTTGAATATAGTTGTTGAGTACTAGCATAAAAGCCACAATGGTTTGACTTTTTTCTTTCTTCTAGATAAGCCAGTATTTGAAAGAAGAATTTGCAAGAGATGGCAAAGAACGTCATCCCTCAGTCCATGATGAAATCTTAGCTGATATATTTAAGAAGAATGACCATGATGGAGATGGTTTTATATCAGCGAAGGAGTACAATGTCTACCAGCATGATGAACTCTAACTGCTTATAGAAGCTTTAGCTGTTTTCCAGATACTGAATTTTAAATAACAATAATGTGTCACAGAATTTTTCTGGGGTTTTTTGTAGCAGAATCCTTTTTATATCTGTTAAGGTGATGGTAAAACCTTATTTTTAACATTCAACAAATAAAATATGTTAGATATTTTTAAGAAATAAATAAAATTGGAAAACACAAGATCTATTATTAGTGGTTCCTGTTTCTTGTCCTAATCTACCATATTGCTCTGTAGTCTTTTTCATTGTGTAAAATACTGATGAAAGTAATTATTTCTGTCCTGTCAAGTACACCAAAATGGTGTCGTGAATAATTCTGTGTTCATGAAAAAGCAGTATTTTAAGTGGGGTTTTAAACTTTGACTTAGTAAAATTATTGGTAGCCAGTCTATGCAGTGACACCAAGTTTATAATTTACTTGGATGAGGTGGAAGATGATGGCAGATACTCTTAAGTAATAGCAGCAATAGGTAATAGTCTGTACTTCAAGCTAGTTACCTGCTCTACTTTATGCAGATGTCATCATAATACTTGGCATAATACTTGGACAACATACTTTGCTCTTCTCATGAAAACAATGTCTGTATTCATTTCAACATAAGATAATCAGCTGTACACAGTGAAAGTAGCAGCACAAGTAAAATAAGTTATCCTTAAATAATTCTAAAACATATAAGAACATTTTAAAATTGTTTTTCCAGTTGAAAATAGCACAGGAAGTGCTTCAACAGCACTCCCAGTCTTGGTACTGGGCACAGTTCTGTAGTGCCTTCTGATGGTTATATTTTCAATAACACAGGCTTAATTTTCTGTGAATGTGATTTACATGGTGAAGACCTTCACCCCTGAAGTCTTGTTGAAAGAATGTAGTTCTGTTAGTTCTGTAGTTTCCAAACTATTTTCTGCTAAGCAATTTTTCCTGAACCCCAAAAAGAACATCAAGAGCAGCTGTGACATAAAATCCAAATGCAGAAGGGAGACTGGCTGGTACATTTTAATAATCTACACAAACTGTTGACATGTGGTAATGGCATCCTATGCTGAAATGCTTATCTCTGTTGTTCCCTTTTGTAAATGAAACTTTAGACTGAGCTAAGTTTTAGCATGTTTTTTAATCTGATACTTCAATTAAAGATGCATGAGAACACTAAATTATTAACAAATATTCTCATTTTACCATCATATGCCAGTATAGATAAAGGCAACATTTGGGGGTTTTAAAACAGGTTTGTGTAAACAAGTAAGTTCTAGCATATATTTTGACATTATGAAAATACAGTTTTAAAGCACATTTTTCTTTATCATGGCAATGAAAGGACAAGGTACTAGAGAGAAGAAAAGCAATCTCAGGGTATGAATAAGAGCCATTTTCAAGTAAAAGGTAATTGATCATGAAGCAAATTGAAGATAATAGCGTAGTAGAATATTTTGCACTTTCACCATTTTGCATTTCAACAATTTGAGTCACATTTACTAATTCTGAAAGTTTTTGTGGCACAGTTATGCCCATGTGTGTGACAACAGGCACTTACCTAGCTCGGTTACTTCACTCTCTTATGCCAGAGGTCAAAACAGGGCACAGCATGCAGTCGTACATACTTTTGTCCATTAAAAGAACATTCTAGGCATCCGTAGACTGTCTCCCTTTTAGAACTTCCCATTCCACAGAGGACACAGGGACCTTTTGGGATGTTGTTATTAAGTAAATTAATTCGGATATGAGACCCCTCTCTGAGATAACTTGTAGAGAGGTCAGTCATGCTTGCAGCTTTCTCATAATAATCTGTAAAAAGGTCCTCCAGGTAAGGATCAGAGTTAGCAATGGTATCCACTACTATTTTATCTGAAAAAGAACACCAAAAAAGCAATTATTTGTCAATACATTATGAAGCGTTTACAAAACAATCTACCAGTCTACTTTTAGGAATAACACCTGATTCATTAAACCATTCTAAACATACCACGTTGCAGATTACGTCCCATCAAAAGACCTGTGTAAATATTTATTTGCTTTCACTTAAGCCAGAATTTTTTGTATATGACCTATATACATAATATACAACTAAATAAAAGCATGAGGCAAACTTTTAATGACAGCTGTGTATGTTCTAGTTCAACATTTTTTTCCTAGCATTTACAAAAAAGCCATCAATCATCAATACTGAAAAGGACTTGGAGGACTCCAGGTTGACCTCCTACCAGATTTCTGAGCATCCAAACATCCCAGAAAGAAATCACTTTTGGAATTACCTATCTCTTCTCTCTTCAGGGGCTAATTAGTTTAGATTGGGTGACAAACTTTTAGGCAGCCACAGCTACTGAGCTGTATCATACCCACTGGAGATTTATTCCGTCAGTGTGGACTGGAGCCTAACTGAAGGCTTCGTCCATAAAGCTCCTTGATTGAAAAGAGGATAGTGGAGCAAGGAGACCTATACAGAGCATCCTTTAGAAGGATATATTTACTGCTTAACATCAATCTTGACACTCAGATTTCCAAATTTCCAAAATTTTTAGACCAAGGAGTGTTGAACATACAGGATCTTATTCTGTAGAAAATACAGCTACATACAGCAATGCTTAGTTTTGTATTTATACCAGAATGAGAAGAGAGAATTATGATGGCATCTTGCCCATGTCCCTGCCATGTGAACATGTAGCCAAAAGAGTACATTCAAATATTTAAATTAATATTGTTTAATATTTAAATACTATTTATAGATTATAAACACAACACTAGCTGTAAATGGCAAGCATATGAAATAGCCTTAATGTTAACTGAAGTTAGCTGTATAATTACTCCATACCAGTTTATAATCAATCAGCCATAAATTGTAGTTTTAAGATCTTTAGAGTTTTAATGAACAGCAATATCCTAGATTAGTTATTTGTATTTCAATATACAAGAAATGAGAAGGTACATTTTCCATCAAAATGTTCTTCTTTAACCGTTCATCTTGCACACAAAGAAATAAAAATTCACTCTTCATGCATTAACTAAGACAGTGGGATATAAATATCAAAAGCCATACTTCGATGAAACAGATTACTCTTTAATGTCCTTAATTTGGACAGTGATGATGATCCAGATTTCTCTTTTTCAAATCCTCCTTTTGAAACTGGAGTCACACAGAGTTCTTTGAAAATTAAAAACAAGTTTTAGAAGAACAAAGTATAAAAGCAATAATTGCACAACAGAGTTTAACACACTTTCTAATCTTTAAAGTTAATAGTGATTACATTCAGTTTTGCTAATATTTTTAAAGGCTAGTACCATATTTAAATATAAGTCTGCATACAGTAACAGCCCATAGAAGCAAGTAACAGTAATTCAATGGAAATTTTAAAATGTTCATGGTTCTCAACATACATCATCACTTTGTTTTGTTTTTACACAATTTATGGCCATGTTGAGGGACTAAGACAGCCAACATCATAGAAATGGAAGTTCCATAACTGAAGGAGAAACATTCTTATGATCTCATTTGAAACAAAAAATGGAAACCAATAAGCAAGGCTGTGAGCTCTGTAGTCATCACTTTCAACACTTAATCAGCTACTAGAATCTACTACCTACTTTTCTATCCATAACTTCAAAGAAAACCTTTGAAGTGAAATACAGGGATAATCAATTCCAAACTATGTTTTACACTTTCTCAATTGAGATTTCTCTTTAATTACACAAATAAAAATACCAGCTTAATTACATCATTGATAATGACTTTAGTAAAAACATTGTACATGTACCTACCATTGCATCAAAGTGAAATAAAATAAAAATATTTCCAAAATTGAAATTAATATTGAGCATTATGGAAGTGAATACAAAGAACTACTGTACTATCTCTTTTCATTTTAATCCAGTAATTATGTGTGATTTGGAGTGTATTTAAAGTTTTTACAGCAGGGTAAAGGTATCTCACAGTTCAGTAAACAGATGCTTTACAACACAGAATTCCTGTAATGAAAGTTTTATACTGTGTATCCCAAAAGGTACAGTGGTATTTGCAGCTCATAAAACACACTGCTGTACAGAGCTGCAGAGACAGAATACTTCCCTAACCAGGTCTTTTATTTTGCTGTTTACAGAAAGCCACAATGTTATAGAGAGTCAAGCAATTCCTGAAACAGTTGAGTGAAACTCAGAGAGGTTCCTGTATTTAAGTAATCTGGCAGTTCAAACTTTATCTAATGTGAATTTAATTGGTAGGGAGTTTTGCATTTGATATTATCAAGTACTAGATCAAATCCTAAAATTGACTTTCTGGTTTATTGCAAACAATATTGATAACATGGATAATGTCATAGGCTACATTTAGTGCAAGAAAATGTAAATACAGAAGTGCTATCTTTCCTCCCAAGAGAGAAAACCTTACAGGAGCTATGCAATCTTTTTTTTTTTTATTAGTTTTCAGTTTTCCTGAATATCTTCTAACGTCCATATGTGGCAATGATGTATCAGACTGAAATGAATGCTCCAACAGAAAAAAAAGTTAGCTTAGATTAGAAGCTCTGCAAACTTTCTTCTTTACTTGGTTCTTTTTACTTGCCTATTTTAGGCAAAACTAATCAGATGGTCTCATAACCCTATTCCTCACAGACTAGAAATATAAGGAAATCAGTTTTTGTTCCATGCAACTGTGGGATTTTACAAAAAATTACAAAATCAAATTTAACTTAGAAATGATATTTCATGAGAGTCTTTTTTCTAGTACCTGCCTTGTTTATCTTTAAAAGAATTGTTTTCCTTAGAAAGTCAGACTACTTATGTGCATAAAATCAAGGTATACCATTGTATGGGATTGGGACTTCTGTATAGGAAGAGCAAGAAAAATGGCTTAAAAACTAAAATAATTATAAATAACAGCAGTAATGACAATAATGCATGTCACTTACCAAAATTACCATCCAAATGAATATAAAGTTCAAATACACTAAAAGCAATCGTTGTATGTGCAGGAAAAACAATTACTTTGTCCCGTCCT